CCCCCCCCAAATACAGTGCCATTGTGGAAAACAAGGGACGTGCCCAACATGATGGGATTGTTATAGCCGTTAAAAGTCCTGTTGAAGAAACAGACTAAGATGACACTACGCCAGCTTGTAACATATAAATATACATCTATGTATCGTGCATAAAAAAATGTGATTATTTTTTTTTTCTTCTGAGACTTCTGTATTTTCTTATTTTTATGGTACATGAATGTTTCTCTTAATGTCAGGGAAAAATGGTATTCTTTCTGCATATATAATTTATCTTTTTGTTGAAAGTATTACAAGTGCCCTCGTTTCCCCCCATTGATCCCCTCCACTCTGCACCCCATTGTTCCCCCCTCGCTCCCCCAGGCCTTCTCCACACTAAAAATGGTATTCTCAAGTATATCATTAAAGTATCTTTAAGAAAGGTATGTCTTTAAAAGATATTTATGGAATTTAACAGAAGGACCTTGGAGAACCCAGCAAGGAAATTGCAAATGGATCTCTGAAGGATGGATGGGACTGTGGCAGGCAGAGACAGGCTCGTTGAGGACGCCGAAGGAACAGTGCGGTCGAGGACCCGGGATGAGAAACGGAAGGAGTGTTGTGGGAACACCAGGATGTCGGTCTGGGAAGGTGAGCCAGGGCCCTGGTTCCGAAGGCTAACCTGACCCCTTTGTCATTGGCTGGCTGCGAAGAACCGCTGGACCTTGAACCGTGGGGGTAAATTTCTTTTTTTTTTTACTAATCAACTAATCATGTTCCATTTTTTCTTATTCTCTGAAGACATTTAGTCTTGAATTTTTTATTTTTTAATTTATCTTTATTGTTGAAAGCATTACATATGTCCCCCTTTTCCCTCCACTGATCCCCTCCATCCCACGTCCATACCCCTCCAGGCCTTCCCCACACTACTGTCTGTGTCCACGGGTTACGCACATAAGTACTTTGTTTAATCTCTCCCCACCCACCTACCCACCCACCCCGGCCTTCCCTCTGAGATTCCTCAGTCTGTTCCATGCTTCTATGTCTCTGGATCTACATGTAGGTAAATTTTAAAGTAAATCTTCTTGGGGGTTCTAGCGCTCAGCCCTTCTATGGTAATGATATTTGGACATTTGATTGACTCAAAGCAATGAGGTAGGAGCAGCTGTTTTTTGCATCCCAGCTGTTTACAAAGTGAGGATTGGCCCTTCTGGTTATTAATTACAAGTTTCATTCAAAAGGCAGCAGTTTCTGAGCAAATTAGCAAAGAGCAAAACTGAGAGGAAGAAGAAATATGTGCCTGAAACCAGTGCTTTGCAAACTTTTTTTTTTTTTTTTACAACTTTCCATTAAGAGTCCACATGCAAGTGAGATCATACGGTATTCACCTTTCTCTGTCTGACTTATTTCACTTAGCACAACGCCCTCAAGACCATCCATGTTGTTGAAAATGGCAGGATTTCCTTTCTTATAGCTAAATAATATTCTCCACAAGCTTTTTTAACTGTGCCCCCCACCCCCATAAGAAGAAATACATTTTAATTCTTAATCCAGAATGTCCACACGCATGCGCACAGATACACACACCTCTGAGAAAGAACTTTGCTGAAATATTACCCTTGCTTTATGCAATGCATGCTGTTGCGTGTGTTTTTTTTTTTCTATTTCAAGTCTATCATTATTTTAAGAAGGATATTTGAGGGTTTTTACTGCTTTATTGAGGTATAGTTGATATACAATAAACCACGTGTGCTTAAAGTGGGTATATTTTTCCATTGATTTTTTTCAGAGAGAGTGGAAAGAAGGAGGAGGGACAGAAAGAGAGAAACGGCAACGTGACCGGGGTGGGGATCAAGCCTGCAACTGAGGTATGTGCCTGTGACTGGAATCGAACCCGAGACCCTTCAGTCCGCGGGCCAGCACTCTAACCACTGAGCCAAACCAGCTAAGGCTTAAAATGTACATTTTTGTTTTGACATATATACACTTATTTACATGCTGATGTTTCCAACTTTATTATCTTTATTTCTTTTTAAATACTGGCCAGGACCCACTACATTGATTTTATGACCCACTGTGGGGTTACAAAATGCCTTAAAGCACGTTGAAAAGAGACTAGACTGTTCCCTGCTATGTTTGCAGTTCTCATTTGAACAGCCACACGGACTGTGATCTTAGGTTTGCCATGTTTGCCTGTCCTGGAAATCAGGACGAGTGAGGAGGTGACACTCTAACCAACCGAGCTACCAGGCAAGGGCTGACTTTTCCTTTTAAAAGGATTATATCAATTCGCATGCCACAGCTTTCTCTGAATGGACCGATTGCATCATCTCATTAGCACTGGAAAGACACCTAAGGTTTACATATTTTGCTAATATAGTAGGTGGTATTACCATTTGAACTTCTTTGATAGCCATACCAATCCTAAGCCATTTAAAGCCATTTTTAGCTAAATGGGAATGAAGGGGCAGTGATTTTGAGGGTACAGAGAAGGCGAAGGGATTTGTTCCTCAATATACTTTCCCCTCCATCCAGCCTGTTCATCCTGTTTGCCTATCAGTTTCCTCCTCAGTGAGCGATGCACCTTCGGGGCCTCGCCTGGTGCCTGGCACTGTCCTGAGTATCAACCAACCTTTATAAAATGGATAAACCATGGAAGAATGTTAAAATATACGCACATAGAGTCGGTCATACTACCCTATGAGCATTAACGGTTCTCCTTATAATGGACTCTCTGGCTCAACACTTCCCATTCCCTGTGAATTAATGTAGTGCCCATCACCCACGGCCAGCTGAGCGCTTTGGAGAGGCGGTTCCTCTCTGCAATACCCACGCGCATCTTCCTGCAAGTTGAATTAGATGCCTGACAAGAGTCAGTTTGGTCCCCGGTCAGGGCACATATGAGAATCAGCTAATGAGCCCGGCCGGGCGTGGCTCAGCGGTTGAGCATTGACCTAGGATCCAGGCGATCGGGGTTCGATTCCCGGTCAGGGCACATGCCCGGGTTGTGGGCTTGATCAATGACTCTCTCATCATTGATGTTTCTCTCTCTCTCTCCCTCTCCTTTCTTCTCTCTGAAATCAATAAAGGTATATTTAAAAAAAAAAAAAAAAGAATCAAATAAGTGGAATAACAAATCTTGCTCTCAACAAAAAAAGTTAGTAAATTTTTTTAATTAATTATTTTTTTAAAAAAAGAGCAATATGAGAATACTTCTGAAGAGCCTTAATAGAGGTATAACTCCCTTTTGACTCATTAATATCACTCCTAAAAACTTTCCCTTGAGAAATAATCCTCCCCAGAAGAGAATTGCCACATGCAGCATGTTTACAACAGCTTTTTTTGTGATAACAAAAGTTTGAAAGGTGTGAATGGCTAACTAATTTACGATGTGCAACACTGTATAACTTGCCATTGAGTACTCAGACAACGGGTAACTTGGAAAACATTTAATTACATATTAAATGAACAAAAGATACAGTTTGCTCAACTTGACTAAAAACCACCAAATCCCACACTTTAAAAGAGTGGATTTTGTGATTCATATCTCCATCTAAAAAAAAATGATACAATCTGCCTTTTTGCTTTTGTATCAGCCAAGATCAGCATCAAAGTACACAGATGGCTGGCTCAAAATGTGTAACTGAAGAGAATGAATGAGTGGACAGCATACAAAGTTGTGAGCAGGGCCCGGCTGGGCATGGCTCAGCGGTTGAGCATCAACCTAGGATCCAGGCGGTCGGGGTTCGAGTCCCGGTCAGGGCACATGCCCAGGTTGAGGGCTTGATCAATGACTCTCTCATCATTCATGTTTCTGTCTCTCTCCCTCCCTCTCCTTTCCTCTCTCTGAAATCAATAAAGATATATTTAAAAACAAACAAACAAACAAAAAAAACGAAGTTGTGAGCAGGGGTGAGGGGCACCAACAAGGGATAGCGAAGCACCCCAAGGCTAGCGTCTGCAGAAAAGCTATTAACAACCATAGTCCCGAAGGGGCAAAGAGATGAAACTAGTGCTCAGAGAAATGGTTCAAGAGGAGAGAGGGCCAACAGCAGCTTAGAGAAATACAGCCCTACCTCCCTCCCTCCCTCTCTCTCTCTCTCTCTCTCGCCCTCAGATCTCCTGTGGTACCTCCCAGCGGCTGACTCCAAGAGGAAGACTTAAGGGTAAGTGAGCCCAGATGATGCTGTCCTGCAAGGTCAGCCCTGGAGAAGGGTGGAGAGTGGACCTGGAGGAACAAAGCAGAATTATCTAGCAGGTATGTGATCCTGTAACAATGTGAGAACTGTCTAAGCACATGGCCAGGACCTTAAGGGCACCTGGAAAACCAGGGTTTCTGGAGATACAAAGTGGAGATAGTAGAGAGCAGGTAGGAGGAGGTAAAAGGACAGGAAAGATTGTTATCTCAGGCTGAGACAAGGGCCAGAATATTTTTAACCCTCAACCAATGGGAGATGCGAGCCACGGGATAAATGCCCCGGGCTCCTATCCTTTAGATGGACAATTCCAGGAGGCCTTTTGTACACCTCTCGGGTCTCCACGGAATCACGCCCCTCCGTGAACTCTTCCCCCTCCCTTGCCTTGCTTGCTCCGTCACTCCTGCCTCCTGAGGTCACTTCCCAAATAAACAACCAGTACCCAAGTTCTTGTCCCGGTCTCTGCTTTCAGGGAACCCCGTGTAACACAACCAATTTCCTGAGAATGAACATCTGGGTGTTGCAGGGTTTTGCTATTGCCAGCGTGCTACTAAAAATCTTCTCGTAACACCCACTGGTGCACAAGGACAAGAACCTCTCTGACGTGTTTACTTTGGGGTAGAGCTGCTGGGGCAGAGGCTAAGGGAGCTTCCAAGTCTACAAGATAATTCCAGACTGTTCACCAAAGTGGCAGGGATGTAAATTTTTACTAACTTACAGTTCCAGCAACATTGTCTGTGAGGTCCCATTGTCCGCATTCCTGCCAACACTTGGTATTGTCAGGTTTCTTCATTTTCACCACTCAGATATCAGATGGAATCCCGTGTGGCCTCAGTGTGACCTTGATGATTAATGAGAGTGCACATGTCCTCATATGTTTATTGACCGTAAATGTCTTATCTCCTGGGAAATGTCTTTTCATAGCTCTGGCCCATTTTTTTCTATTGGTCGGTTTGCCTTTCCCCATCAGTTTGGCTAATTCTTTGACAGTTACGGTCCGTTCCTCTTGGAACTCGGGTGGTCAGGACTGAATTCACGATCATCGTGACTCTTTTCCTGGTTACAAAACCGCCTGCTTGTCATAAAAGAAACACGTAGAGCGTATGGACACGTTTGACTTAGCGGAAGCTTCCTCCTCTACTCTGAGCTCCATCCTACCTCCACGCAGGAGTCCCTGCCATGAATAGCTTGTCATCCCGTATTTGGGGGATTTTGACTGATAGTTTCTCAAGGGTGAGAACTGGATTTTACTCATCCTCGGGTTCTCAGCGCCTGGCCCAGGTCAGGCATGCGATCCGTTCCACTACTGAGTGAACTGCCGGAGGGTGGGTTAGAACAGGGTTTTGAAACTATAAGAAGATGCGTTTGACCGGAACAGAGGAGGGGATGGGCCGCAGTCCTGGTCAGATGTGCGGGGGCTCGGTTACTGACAGTGTCTGCTGTTGGGCAAAGGGCTTGGTTTTTATCCTGGATGTAGTCAGCCAGGGAGGCAGCCAGGGCTTTTTTAGGTGGAGGGGAGGTATTTGTCCCTACATTTTTACCAGTTAACAGAATTAAAATAAAACATATACAGCCTAGTCACCTAGTGGCCACATACAGGCTGTAACGGGGAGGAGGCTGATGACAACGAAACCGAAGACAGAAAAATGGACAAATCGAGGAGTTACTCACCTTTTTTGGACACAGGCTCCTCTGAAAAACTCAAGAAAATGATACCTTCTTTCAGAAAAATAGACATAAGGCCATGTACTTCTTTCTTCTCTAAAAGTCAGGAGATCTAGCCAGGCCAGTGTGGCTCAGTGGTAGAGCATTGACCTATGAACCAGGAGGTCAGGGTTCGATTCCCGGTCAGGGCACAAGCCCGGTTGCGGGCTCCTCGATCCCCAGCAGGGGGCGAGCAGGAGGCAGCCAATCAGTGACTCTCATGGATGTTTCTCTCCCTCTCCCCCTCTCCCTTCCTCTCTCTGAAATCAACAAAAACATATATGAAGTTGGCGTGATTGGGAAAGTGTCACTTTACATAGAAGAAAACTCTGGCCAGAGAACTGAGCCGACCTGACCTTTATGTAGTGACAGAACTGCCTGGAACAAGGCCAAGAAAGTTACAGCTGAAGACTCAGGACACTTGTGTGGCCAGTTGGTTCACCCAACCCTCTACCCAAACAGTTGCTTGATGGGAAAATCAATCTCCCCTTAACTCGAAAGGATGAAGGAGAAGACAGTTAGCACTTGTTAACAAGCTGTTTATTACAGTGATCAACGGGGGGCATCCTGTGATGTGTTTCTCCTCTATCAGTACTTTCCCGTAGGCGACTTAAAAATCTCTGCATAAAGAACAGACCTCACCTCTTTCTGCCAAACTCCCAACTGCAACAAACACAGAGAAAACCAAAACCAAACCATAGGCCACCGGAAACTGGGTAGTGTTACTGTCAGGTCGCAGGCCAGGGCCCGAGGCAGAAACTGAGAGCCCTGGCGAGCAACTGGTCACACAGGACCCGAGATCAGGATACAGGGGGCAGGCCCTGTTGTGCCCCCAGAGATCACACCAAAGGCAGTGGAGAAAGTGCCAGGGTTCAAGGGCACCATCCGGTTGACCAGGGAAAGACCGAAATACCAGATCTGAGCAGAAAGGAGATATAGCCACGTGCCGAGCTTGCAAATTAACCTCTGCATGCCCACAAAAACAGTGTTATCTAGTAGCCATACTGAAAACAGAAAAGGAACAGGTGAAATTAAATGTAATATATTTTATGTTTTCTTGAACTCGGTATATCAAAGTGTTACCGTTTCAACTTGTAATCAACAGGACTGATGTCGTTTACAACGATCCCTTTTTTCCCTACCAAATCTTCAAGATGTGGGGTGTGTTCCGTAGCACGTCTCCATCCGGACTAGCCCCATGTCAAGGGCTCAGTGGCCCATGTGGCTAGTGGCTTCTGTGTCGGGCAGCACAGGCTTGGAGAAAACCATACTTAACATTTTGACATTAAAGTGTTTTGCCTGTATTTTCTGTTTTCTTTCTCTTTTCTCTGTTTCTCTTAGCGACAGTGACTGAACATCGACCAAGGGTCAGGGACTGTGCCTAGGGCTAGCTTTCAGGTGCATTCCCTGGCACGTGAACCCTGCAATTTAGCCAAAGAGGAGACATATAATTACAATAAAATGTAGCAAGTGTGATTGGGGCAGGACGAGGTGCTGAGAGGCTACCTGGAAGAGTAATTTCAGTATCTCGGGAGGTGAGGGAAGCCTTAGGGGGTGGAGAAGAGAATGAAGGTTGAATAAAGAACAGCTAAGAAGAGGGAGACCGGAGGACTGGGAAATGCTCGCGGCAGAAAGAGCAGCTGTAGGGAAGGCCCGGAAGCCTTTGGCGGAACTGGAAGCAGTGCTGTTGGGGCCCCCAGGGTGAGAGGTAAGGCCGATGTGTATTCTCCAGAGCTGGAGGGCAGGATGTTGACATCTGGAAAGGCCCAGCACAGGAAGCACTCCCCCCCCCAAAAAAAATATTCCCTCACCAGTTCAGTTCACGTTTACTAGTCATAGAGACTCTGAATGGGTTAACGAGCTGTTTTTATAAAAGCAAGAATCTCTCCTACAGTGATCACTCCCTTTTCAGATTATGTCAGGCCTTGATGACTTACTAGATTCACAAAATTGAGCACGATTGACGTTCCATAAGTAGCCTTTGGGTAGATGTTTTGTTTTGTTTTACCTGTATTGTTGGATGTATTACAGATGTCCGGTAGGTAAATGTTTTCATTCCTTGACTGCCTATATAAGTGATTGCTAAGGATCGTTTCTTGGAATGTGTCTGAGTGAAGAGAATGTTACGTTCACACCCAGATTCATGGGAGCCACGTTTCCTGCAGTGATTCCCATAGGATCCCTTCAGCTCTCCAGAGGAGCCGGGCCCGTCGTTAAGCTGTAAGACGCAAAAGCCCAAAAGGCAAGTCCCCAGTGACAGGAGGTGGAAACCCCGGTTTCAGGGGAGAGGCCAAGGTTGCCTCTACTCCCAGCCCTTCACCCACGGGACCCCCAGATCCACAGCCCCGCTCTCGCCTCTCTAAGAACTTATAAAACAGGCAGCAAGGCCCCTTTCTTCCTTCAGCTAAATCAGAACGGCCAAACAGGAAACTGGTAACTCCCACCCCCAGCACACTACACACCGAACCAACCCAGGTGGCTGGTGCTTCCTCCCCGCAGCTGGCCAGGACTGTTTAAAGAGAGCCCTCCAAAAACCTTCCAGGGAGACTGGAGTGACCAGTAATCCTGATGCATGGAAGGCACCTTTCGTTTTGGGGAATGGTGTTTCTTCCTGACACCCCGTGTTATACAGAGCTGCTGCATTTAAAAAAACACGGTCTCCGATGAGGCACAAGGCCCCATCTCTTTAGCCCCTGATCTGACCTTGGGGAGGCTGGGTGGATGGGTCCTCCCAGCAAACCCAGATAGATAGACCCTTTGGGGAGGTGGCGCCAGAAGACAGAGAACTAAGCTTCCAGGGTGGCCTGTCCTGGCATATCTGGGCCACTTCCTTTCCCAGCAGGGTCATAAGGGGACCTTCTCCTTCCACCCGCCGCTTCCTTCATTCCCTAGCACAAGGAGAAACTGGCGAGATCGTGGTTATTTTGAGTAGCGTTTTGAGAAATGGAGTCCACTTTGCTTCTGGCGGTAGACACCCTTAATTTGTACAGAAACGATTAACCGGGGCGCAGCCATGGCGATAGGCGTCCTTAGCCCTGCTCCTTGGGACACCAGTTTGAACCCACGTCTTATTTTCAGGAACCAACATTGAGTGTGCACGTAACCGTTTGTCATCCATTCTGCCAACAGCGGGACTAACGTGTACTAGCTTGTTTAATCTTCAAATGGTATAAATTATTTTTTATTCCCACTTTGCATACCAGAAAACTGATTAAAAAAAAAAGTTCGATGATTGGCCCAAGATTACAACAGCTAGTGAGTGATCGATCTGTGACTCAGAGCCAGGTGGGTCTGACCTCTCGTAGGCAGGCCAGCAGGCTGTGTGTGAAGGAAAACACCAGGCATGCCACTGTGACCCGTGGAGTCCAAAAGACTTTACGGGAAGGTTGGCGGCCTGGTGGGCAGAGAAAAGAGCACGTCAGAGTCCCACACTGGGAAAATTTAATTCCTTAGGCTTTATATATCTTTTATCTAGTCTGGGATCGCCCGTCCAAAATATCTGAATTATGTTTATCAGGGGCACCGTTTCCTCCCGGCTCTGCAGGGAAACCTCAGCAAGGCCTCTCCCGACCTACCCAGCTTGCATTAGCCCCTGGGTCCTATTCCTCCCCAGAGCATTCTTTCTGCTCCAGTTATTTCTTGCTCAGCCCTCCTGTGCTCAAGCCTGTGAGCTCCCAGCAAGGAAGCCTGGGTCCCAGCTGCCTCCCCGCACCTCACCCCATTTCTTTCTTTTTCTTTTTTTAAATATATCTTTATTGATTTCATAGAAAGGAAAGGAGAGGGATAGATAGAAACATCAATGATGAGAGTCACTGATCAGCTGCCCCCTGCACACCCGGGACTGGGGATGAGACTGCAACCCGGGCCTGTGCCCTGACGGGGAATTGAACCCTGATCGCCTGGATCCTGGGTCNCCGGGACTGGGGATGAGACTGCAACCCGGGCCTGTGCCCTGACGGGGAATCGAACCCTGATCGCCTGGATCCTGGGTCCACGCTAAGCCGCTGAGCCACCCCGGCCGGGCTCACCCCGTTTCTGACCCGGGCCTGGCAGGGCGCTTCCTCTCTGCAGCGCGGGGCGGCCCGAGCCCGCTCCTGGAAGGTCCTTTCTCCGATTTCTGTGCGTGTCTCTGGTCTACGAGTCTTGCACCCGAACTTGGCTATTGTCATAAAGACACTCACTGCGCAATTTTTTTATTTTTATTTTTTTGCATTATAAGATGCTGGAGGTAAGAAGGTTAAGTAGGAAGGGCCTCGTCCCGTTCCGCCCCTCCCCCCCAAGCGGAGACAGTTATTTTGGAGAAGAGGGAAATAATAATAATAGCAGGAGGCCGGCTGCAGC